CAACTGCCGCGGTCAAAGCTCGTTATGCGAGCTATGGTCATGGCTTCCTTCGCATAAGGATCCTTTTCCTGGCCGTCTAAGTTCCCTGCGAAGGGGTGCATGACTGTCCCTGCCAAGCGCAAGGACAGGGTGTTTTGAACAACCGCCACGGTCAATTTCTTGCCGTCTACTGTAGTCAGGGGAATAAGGAACACCTGTGTGTGTGACTTTTTGAGGGCACCCTTTTCAGGTTGGTATGAAGGGACACCCAAAGCACCCCAAATTGGGGTACTGTACCCAAATCGCAAACTGACCCAACATTGAGGGATACCCATGTGTTGCGAGTTGGTATGAGGCAACGACATGGCTCAACGTGGTGCTGTGGTCCATGGGCTACATCAAAGACTGGCAGGCCTACTACAAGTTCCAGGCCGCAGTGGGCAGTGGTGTTGGACTTTTTCGCCGTGGGGTACTTCCCTGAACCCAGACTTCTGGCCACAGGTATTGGGGGGAGCCGAGCCAGACATGATGAACTCCCCGTATGATACAAGGGGAGTTGGGCCAGCCAAATGCCACCAAAGTCACGGCCATGGCAGTGGTTGTTGCATCGGTTCGAACGATGTACCAGTGCATGGTTGTTGTTGGGAAACATTTTACATTTTTGCTTATTGTGGTTTAGTGGTTGAACTCCAACCACACAACTGCTAAAATTTGAAAAAAATGATCCCCTTTCACCGTCAACCAAGAGTGAGTTTTCGGGAAGGATTGATTGGATGGAAATATACAGGGTTCCAAGTCTGTAGCTTCTATGCCAGGCAAGACCCTGAAGGGGCCGCCAAGGAACTCAACCTGAATGTCGCTTCGTGACCGAGACATGTCTCCGTGGATTGCTCATGTGCGCTTTGAATTGTAGACGCTTCTGTTGATATGTTGACCGAACCTCAATGTGTCCGTGTGAAGACTAGGGACCCCTCCAACAAGTTTTCCCATTGGGGTGTGACCTCCCAAAATGATAGTTGTCCTGGTTGCTTTGTTGTTTTCCTCTCAAAACCAGCCTTGTTCAGATCCCTTCAGGCTCCTTTTTTGGTGGATCAGGCACTCGCCTCCAAAGGATCCGATCCTGATGGCTTTATGCGAACCTAAGATCCGAAAGGAGAGGATCTGGCGACGATCTTCCGCCCCGCGTCTTGAAATGGGGGTTGAGTAGTTGGGTTTCCATTCAACCCATTGAAAGTTAACAACTTTTGGCAGGGATCTGAAAACGGACAGTCCAGTCGCGGTTACCCCCAATTTTTGACCACCGCAGCCAAATGACTCGATTCGAGTCGAACATGCGAACGGCCAGCCTGTGCTCTGGACCTTCAGCATGCTCTTTGCCCTGTGCCTGATCCAGCTGACGCTCAACGTCCTCCCTGCGCCGGCCTAAAGAAAGGGCGCGGACAATCCGTTTGGTGGATACGAGGGTCAAAAGAACGAGCAACCCCAACACGGCTTGCCCTGGTAAATGGAAGCACGGAAGATTTCAGCCCTGGTGGTTGAATTCTGACCCCAGTGAATATGGCCATTGTGGGGTTTCGGGCGCCTGGGTGGGTGGTTTTGACTCCCAGCGTGCTGAGGCAGTGATCATGCTTTCTCACAAGAAGGAAGCCGACCTGGTAGAGAATTACAGCCGCTGGCCTAGACACCTCTAGCTCCGCTTGAGAAGCCCCCCCGCTCTGAAGCCGCCCCACAATGGGTACCAACTCCCAGGAGGACACACCTTTTTCCGCAAGAAGTGGGAAATCAGAGGCCTAACAAAGAGAAGGAGAATGGGGGAATGCGGTGGTCAGTACTGACATTGTTCAAACTGTGAATCCATAGCGAGCAGACGGCCGGCAGCAGATCCACAATGCGTGGAGTATTTGTCTTGCGCATAGAATGCCTCCCTCTTTTGGGGACCTCTCATTTGAGATTCTTTGGGAGCATTTTTTGTGTCGTGTACCTGAAGTCCCCCAGGGGTAGATGATTTCCGGCATGGGGTTCTCCGGCGCGGGAACCCGCCGGAGTTCCTTGTGGGTTTCGGGAGTCGCCTGTTGGCGGCGAAGTGGCAATTGGTGGTTGTTCCTTTTGGTTTTCCTTTCAGTCCACCAACCAAAAGGGTAGCCTCAAAAATAAGCCACCATGCTCCCGCGGGACTTGGGACCCACAGACACCTGAAACAGGTTTTTCATGTACCCGGCTGACATTGGGGGCCACAGAAACCCGAAACCCCAGCGAAACCCGTTCAGCCGCTCACTCGCTCGCGCTCGGGAATGCGAGGCTACCATGCCTACTGGGCCAGCGAGCGAAGCAGGAACAGCGGGCAGAAGAGCTTCAACCCCGCGTGGGTGGGAGCCCGCCTCAGAGGGAAAGAAGTGGCTGCGGCTGTGGTCAAAGCCGGTCGTTTTGGGATCCCATTTTTCGGGGTTTAGGTGAATTCACCACCCATTTTAGGCTTCCTATTTATTTTGGCGGGTAGGTGAATTCAAAAAAAGTGACCTATTTTAGTTTTTGGATTGAATCGGATGTTCACTGGGGGCACGATTTGGATTTTGACCCATGGCCAAGTGAGCCACGTGCAATGCAAAGATCCGCTGAAGGGCAGATAGAGGTAGTCAGGGATAAGCCCAACAATACATGGGTGCGGAATTCCGTCCGTTGAATTCTTTACATGATCGTAATACCAGGTTTTGATTGTGACTCAAGTGGAGATGGGACTTGGCGAAAAAAATGGTTTGGGAGCTGCCCGATGCGTGCAGCTGGTGGTTGTTGCCTTTGCAGCATTGCTGATTGTTCGGTTGAAGAGTTTAAGCATCAGGGGAGGGGGAAGTTGTAAATTCATATCTTTAATGGCACCCCTCTTAAAACCACACATCTCATCCAAGGGGCGGGGTGGCATTTCATCCAAGGGGAGGGGGAGAATGGAGGGAGGCTCACTGAGAAGCGAGGCTGGGATTTCTCCAATCCTGCGGAGCCCAGAGAGGCGGTTGGAATCGGAGTCGCGACGCGCGGGAGTCGCGATGCCCCGCAAGACCCAACCCGCAGGTTGAAGTGAAGAGTCGCGGTCTTGCGGGCGTTCCTGTTCGGGGCTTGCTGGATCCAAAACTCAAATTTGAGTGAACAACGAACCACAGGCTAGACCCAGAACTCATTTAAGTGACGTTTTTTCATGGGCTGAAGGAACCTTCTCCCCTTTAAGTGAAGAGTTCATTGGCAGGTTGACCGTCGCAGTGGCATGTGCGTGGGAGGGATGGTGTCCCAAACAAGACCCGGGCACGATTAAGAACAACTCAGATTATTTCCCACTACTTCAAAGTTCATGCTTGCATTCCAACAAGATGTCGGCTATGACAGCTATGACTCGATTACACGAAGCTTGGTCTTAAAATTACCTGTGGTCTATGGCCCTGCTTGGGACAGACAGGGGGAATGAACTAGACATTTCTCCACTAAAACCGCGGGCCTCGATCCCACAGAGATATCCAAGAGTCCCCTACGAAATTCACAGCCATTTTGACCGCTCACATGTCAGGTCTTCGACTCTTGAGCAGCAATGCCTGCGGACGGAGCCGCGAGTTAACCCGCAAATCCGCCTTTGGCTCGCGGGTTCAGCGAAAGTCACACGCCTAGCTCGTTGGGGAAGGTGCCGGCCCGAAAGCCAAACTCAGGCTCCAAGGTGCAACGAAAAAAGGCGTCGTGTTTCGGTTGGATTGGTTTGTTTTGAGGACTCTTCTCAATCCATGTTCCATTCCATGTGTGTGTGTGTGTGTGTTGAAGATTGGTAAGTTTTAAGTGCAATCATGGCACATGTCTAGGGGTACCTTCCATTTCCATTCTTTCCAGGGATCCGAGTCTTTCTAAAAATCCTCCAAACACCCAGGGGAAACAGCTCCGGTTTTTGAAAAGAACGATTTTTGGAAAATAATGGACATGGAATCAACCTCTAGACTTTTGGCTTTTCTTTAGAACCGCTGAAAAGTGCTACCCTCAAAAACAGGAGGTTTCGTGGCACATGGCCGCCACTTGCTATCCAACATGGGGCTTCGACCCTCCGTCGCCCTTCCCCGGCCCTCTGCCGAAGGCAGAGTTAGATCAGCCGATTGCGTTTCACCGGAGAAAAAAGCCTCGAAGTGTGCTTCAGGGGGAGCTTCTCAATATGGGGGGCTCTTCTTTTTTTTTTTTGACCACCCAAAATGGAGGGGGTGTTTCCACCAACAAGGGGGGTACCCTCAAAAGAAGCACCCAAATGCATTTCGGACCCCTTGTAGATGGTGTTTGAGGGCAAATCTTATCAGCAACAACTGGGTACTCCGCAGTCCCCAGAATTCGGCTAGATGTGGTCTGCTGAACACATGTGGGGGTTGATCAAAAGGTCCTTTACATGGGATGACCCTTGGTTCGAAAGCCACTAAAAGGATGATTTTGATCAACCCCCAGGTGTCTCCCCAGTCTCCAGAAATTCGGGTAGATGTTCTCTTTAGAACTTCATGGTCGAGTCTACTCCACCGCGTCGCGCCGCTGAATTCCCCACTGAATTCGAAATTGTTACCCATGGTCAAAACTGGGGTTCCCACGAATTTGGAGTGACCCATGGTCACACCTGAAAAGCCTAAATGGAACATTGTCGCTTCGCCCGCGCAAGAAAGGGGAAGCCCCAAAAAACCTGGGGGCCCAACAAAATCTGGGGGCCCGAAAAAAGAAGAAGAAGGAAACAACTGGGGGCCCGAAAAAAACCAAAGCTGGGGGGCCCTAAAAGAAAACCGGGGGCCCATGATCAACCCCCCCATGTGCCAAAACTGGACAAAAATCCTATGGTCAAACTGGGGGCCCTAACTGGAACATCGAGGATCAACTCATGTGGGGTCCCTGTCCCTGAAAAATCCAAAGAACTGGGGGGCCCTGAAAGAAAACGCAGAAATCTGGGGGGGGGGGCCATGATCCACATTTCCAATGTGTGCACATCGAGGATCCTGGGCCTTCCGCCAGTGTCGCCCTTCCGCCAGTGTCCTCATCATCCCCTGGCGGATCTCCTTCGACATCGATCCCGATCCCTTGGCCGCGCGCCCAAGCCCATACCTTCGGGTTCCCAAGCGCCCACCGACCCTGGGGAGGCGGCGGTGGCGGTGGGTTTTTTTTTCGGTTTTGGGGGGGGGGGGAAATTTGGGAGGAACCCGTGTTTTGGTTGGGAACCCCCCAAAAAAAGCCCAAAGAAGCCGCCAAGCCAATTTTTTATTTTCTAATTTCTCGAGGGGCAGCTCTTTTTGAGCTGGAAACCCACTTGGAGCAAATTCGGTTGGGTTTGTCCTGTTTGTTGGTGAGGGTAAATGGAACGGACCAAAGGCTTTCCCACTTGGGCAGTGAGCATGTGGGGTTATGTGTTTGTCTTGGAGGGTACCCTTTGCAGGCTGGAGGACACATCCATGGACTCAGGCCACAGTGTTTGAGATCCTGGTGGACATCATCTTCGCCATCGATGTGGTTCCTTGCTCGAGTTGGGCGGCCGCATTTTTCGTATTCCTGCACTCTTCTTTCGCCTGATGACTAGACGTGAGAATGAAGGGTTCTTGCGCCACAGTGATACTAGGGAGCGCTCAAAAAGCGTGAAGTGAATGATTCGATCTATTGTGTGAGGGCTTTCGAGCATCACAGAAGTGGCAAGTCCCTCAAAACCATGGTGCAACAGGAAATTGCGAGAATGTTTGGGATAATTGGTTTAAACAACCAGACCCTGGGAGCCTTTCAGCTGAGATGGCTGCAGGTCCTGTGTTTCCGGTCCGCGTTCGCGGACGCAGATGGCACAATAGACACGGCTCGGCTCTCAGATCTAACTCCAAAAAACGGCAGCGATGGCATTTGCTTCTGTGCTTGGCATGGGCATAGCGTGCATTGAGTGGCACTAATGTGGCCTATGTCTCCTTGGCATCGGGTTGCTGGCTTGTCGTGACTCTTCTACTGCAATGATGCATGGCTGAGACAAAGAGGTAGTATGTCTATTGATGGATAACAGCTTAAGGTCCAAGGTGCGCGGAAGATTAGGCCACCGTTTTGGAGAGGTTCAACCGTTTTGGAAACAAGCACCTGGTATGCAATTAATACATTACCGTTTCGATGTGTCAAAACGACCCCGATCCTCACTTCTTTGAAAAGATGCGTGACTGCGAACAGAGTTTGACCATGGGGATGGCGACTCATGAGTTGGAGACACTCCTTTCAATTCGGGACCAATGGGAAAACTAGTTAGAGGGGTCCCTAGTCTTCACACGCACACGTTGATGTTCGGTCAACATATTCAATAGTTTGTGCTCCCACTTGGGAAAGACATGGAAGACGCACGAGATACCTCACAAAAGTACACACTCATGTAACATGTATCATATTTCCATGTCCATTGTAGAACCAGAGGAATCATCACAACACAATGTTGACCCCATATTAGTCAACCCCAGCATTTTCATAAGGGTGGTGTTTCTGGCTTTAGTGGGGGAATCATCACTTTGGGAAGGGCCCCCGCCACCCTATTAATATGCTGGGGTTGATTAATGTGGGGTCAACATTAAGTACACACACGCACACGCGCACACTTATCCACACTGGCGGCACATTGAGCAACTGGAGTTCGAGACGTTAAAATCAGACTGTTGTTTACTAAAGTGCAAGTGCTGTTAGTACAACACCACATGTGCATTGACATGAGAGAGAGAGGGCTTAATAAGGGCTTATTTGGGCTCCCTCCCCCTCCTCTCCCCTCCCCTCCCTCCCCCCCAGCCCCCATGAAACTGGAGTTCGTGCTTAAGCGTTCCAAGTCGTTTCGGGGTTAGAAGCGCGTCTCATTAAACCACTAAAAGTCAGTCACTTTTTGCCGGGGAGCAGAGTTCGCGGCCAAGGTCTTTTGGCATATCTCGCGAAGATACTTGAGGAGCCAGCCGCCGGGGCAAAGGCGGCAGATCGCGTCTTCCGGGCGAAGCGCTTGGCCCCGCATTTCTTTTAGGTCGCCACTTGTTTCTTCTTCTTTTTTTTTCTCTCTCTTTTTTAAACCGATGTGTGTATCTATATATATACATATATATATGTCTACATATATTCAAATAAATGAGTAACTAACTGAATAAGTAGCTGAATAAATACAGCAACAAATAAGTATATATAATATATAAAAATAAATACATACATAAATACATAAATTCATAAATTCATAAATAAATGAATAAGTAATTAAATAAACAAATTCATAAATGCATAAATACATAAATAGATAAATAAATAGATAAATAAATTAAATAAGTAAATAAATAAATACATTTAATACATAAATAAATAAATAAGTAGATAAATAAGTAACTAACTAAATAATATGTATATATATATATATGTATATATACATATATACATTTGCGAGGACTTGGTTCACCTTTGACTTGCTGTCCACAGTGCCGGTGGACAGGTTTGTGGAGGCGGGGGGAGCTCTTCCATTTTTTGGGTGAGTCTTAGGGAAACCAACCAAAAAGGAGACAGACCCATATGAGCGCATTTTTTCAGAGCCACTCTGAATGTCGCTGAGCGAAGTCGAGGTTTCGGACGCCAGGGCCAGGATTTCGCCTTTTGCGCCGTTTGGGTTGGCCCAAGATTTTCGTGTCACATCTTGAACCCCCCGGAGGGCTGTGGGGGGGGGGGGGTATGGGTTGTGCCTGGATAAGCCCAAGCCAGCCCTAAGGCCTTTGTAAGGGGTTACTAAGGGATTGCCCCCCCTCCCAATAGACCCTCCTTAGGCGTCCATGAGCACAGGCACACCTTTTGTTGTGAACATTGGTGACCCCAACATTGATCGATTTCACTTATTGGCTTTTTGGGAACACGATGCAAAGGGTTTAAAAAAGGTACCTGACGAATTCTGAAGGTCTGTTTCAGCTTGGTGGGGACGTAGTGCTAAGGATTTTCTCCAAACAGGAACCAAGGCACATCAAGCACATGGCCCAGAGCCAGAGAACCATCGAACCAACATGAGCCAGGAACATATTTTGGATACCAGAGAAACCCATCTATTTCCCCTAAAAGGACGCCTATGCGCACATGTGTTCGTTCCTATGGTTGTAACAAGGGCCCCCAACACTTCCCCCCCCCTTCCCCTTGGCCTGGGTCGAGCGGTTCAGGCGATTACGGGCCAGGGTGGCCCCCAAGCGCGGGCGCTGAAGATGGCGGGGCTGCCCGGGCGGAACGTCTCCGGGAAAGACGCGGAGACGTGGGTGTGGTGGTCAAAATTAAACGATCGGAGGGGCCAACCGCAGTTTTTGGTTTCCATGTCTCCACTTCCCAGGGCAAGCCATGTTGGTACCGGTTTGAGGAGCCACAGCCATGTTTGTGGTGGTCAAAACCGTTTTGGGATCCCATTTTGGTTGGTAGGTGAGAAATACCACCAACATTTTGGAACCTATTTTGATTAGTGGTTGGATTGGGATGTTCGCAGGGGCTACGATTTGGATTTTGACCCATGGCCACGTGGGAAACCGAGAGACTTTTGGTGGGGGAAAAAGAAGGCTAAGATGATCATCCGTATCACGGACCTTTCAATCAACAGACGCATTTGTCAAGAGGGCATGGGTCAAATTTAAACCACCAGCAGACCGCAGGTTTTAGTCCATGGTTCCATCTACCAGACTTCCATTTTTGGGTACCAATTTGTGACCCACGGCCAAGAAGCAAGCCGCGGCTGTCTGCCTTCATCGCGGACGTTCTTTGCCGGAAGGAAGATGATCCGGAAAGGCTGAAAGACCCTGGCAAGCAAAAAAGCGAAGAGAAAGCTTCAAGCGCCACCAGCCGTTTGGCGGATTTGGCCCCCTTTTTTTGGGCATCCGGATCTGTAGGTGACGTGACAGGCGATTTGATGGAATTTGGGGCAGGAAAACACATGTGGCCTTTGGTTTGGGTCATCGGGCCAACCGACTGTTTAAACGTTTAAACCTTTTTTTTTGAATAGTCTCAACCTCGAAAAAATGGGTGTGTGTTGTTTTCAAGGGAGTCTTGTTGATTGGCTCAAAAGGAATCGGACGACAGCCATATCCCCTGCAATTTGAGTAGATCTTGTAGCTTCTTCTTTTTTTGGTCACTGCTTTCCCACTCAACAAAGGGTCACGCTCTTTGCACTGGCAATAGCCAACCCGTGTGTGCTTGCTTCGGGTTTCCTTTTGGTTCCCCTTAAAACTGCAAAAAAGGTGGGTTCACCCGAAAAGAGACACTCACATTTCCACAATTATGACTTGGTGGCTCCCAGGCAGCCCCTTAGCCTTTTAGCTTTTTAATTAGTGTTTAGTGGTAGTTTCCATTTAATCATTTTCAATTAAACTTTCAGCGGGGGATCTGAGGGCAGCCCAGTGTCCACTCATGCAGGTTTGCTTTTATTCCCCTTAAAACCACAAACAAGGTGGGTTCGCCCCAAAAAAGACACTCACATGTCCTTGGTGGCTCCCAGCCATCCCCTTAGCCTTTTACCCATTTAGCTTTTTTAGTGTTTAGTGGTAGTTTCCCTCTAACCCACCAAAAAATAGTCAAACCTTTAGCAGGGGATCTGAAAACGGGCAGCCCAGAATGAGAGGTTTGCTTTTGGTTCCCCTCAAGACCACAAAAAAGGTGGGTTCACCCCAAAAAACGACATTCACATTTCCCATCACTATGAGACAACCCATGTTGACTTTGGTGCGGACTTTAACTTTTTGCCAACTCATGGGTTTTCCGTATTAAACCACTAAGAGTTAGTCACTTTTGGCAGGGGAGCAGATTTCGCCACCGAGTTGCGACACTCAGCTTCTTTCGGTGCTTCGCCTTGCCGAGATCCGCATGGTGCGGCTGATTCGGCTGCTCAAGCTGGCGCGGGTGCTGAAGATGGGCGCGGAGCTCAGAGGGTCCCTGGGAATTTTGTCGCCTGGAGTCGAGGAGTTTCCATTAAATCGGAGCACATGTGGGTGGCTCGTCTTTTTTCTTGGGGGTGCCTTCTTTTTGTGGTAAAGGAAAACCAAAGGTCGAAAGCTATTTTGAGGCCCCCTAAGAAAAGACATACCTATATGGCATGCAAGGGACCCTGTGAACGTCATTTGATTTATGTACACCGTTTCGGGGTCTCCATGAGAATCCGGAGCCGTTTTTTAAACACACTGTGTGTGTGTGTCAACATAGAGGGACCTAAAGTGGCGGTTTCCGCAGGTTAGAAGGGTAGTTGCCAACTCCAAAGCCAGAGACAGACCCATTTTGGAACCGTATCTTCCCCCTTAATTGGGTCCCTATTGGGAGAGATGCAAGGCAACCTAGAAGAACCCCCCCCCTCCCCAAGGTGACCAACGCAGCCGCGACTCCAGCCAAGACATGAAAAGTCCGAGAGCCGTGTTTCCCACTATCTTGCCGGTGCTCAGGGAATGAGGGACTGAACCCATTGGTCCCCAAAAAGGAAACCACCAGTTGGAGGGTTTTTCACGGGGTCGTTCCCATTCTCGTTCCCTACTGAGCACCAGCTGCCCAGTGGTGCCCTTTGTCCTTTTTTTTTGGGAAGGGTTCCCCTTTAAAGTCAGCCAACCAAAAATGTCGGAGGCCGCTTCCTTTTTTCAGAAAAAGTTGGCACCAACTTCTTCTAACCTCTCCGCCCTTTTACCCACTTTGTTGGGGGAGGATTCCCCTATACCTCTCAAATCTGGAGGACTGAGTATTGGAAAACTCGGAGAAATCTTTCGCCGCGAGCCTTGAGCCGAGGCAAGCTCGTACAGCGGATCGAGGACATCTTGGACTTGTCCCCGCTGACGCTGAGGCGAGAGAGTTGGGTGTCTTTTGCTTTGTGTGTGTTGTCCTGTTTTTTTTTTTTTTTAAGATTTGGCATTTTTGGTCTAGTTGCGTTTTGAGATCGTGTGACTTGTCTGTTTGTTTGGATTGTGGGCTTGGTGGATTTTGCACGATTTGTTGTCATTCTACCAATGCAGTGCAGTTGTTTGATCCGGTGGGGGCTGGTTTTGGGACCGCATGGAATGACGCACACGGGAACTTCTAATTGATTGATCTGGTGGAGGGGAGTGCGCCCCTTATTGTTAGAAGGAGAAACGCACACCCTATCAGCCCGCAAGATTGATTATTTGGGGGGTAACAGAGTACTTTCTGAGGAGCAGTCTAGCGGGAAACAACGGCTTTGGACATGTCGACAGGCCAATTCACTCAGGAACTGAGTCAGGGGAGCAAGCAATTGCTGCCAAGCCGCCTTTGTCAAGCAAGATTCGGCAAGGATGAAAGAGCCAAGACATGCAAAATTACCTGGGAAGTGCCAGCTTTCATGTTTTGATTTGTCGGTTTGGTCTAGTATGTCTGAAAACCCGGTGGGGATTTTTCCATTACTCCGAATCTCTCAGAACCTCAGAACTGGGCCCAGGTTTTTGTTTTTTTCCCTGGCTTTGGGGCCCTCGGAACAGGTCCCCCGCAACTTGCGAAACTACATGAGAGTTCTGTGCCAAAAGGACATCACATCCAAATAGTAGTCGTTCTTTTGATTTCCCTGAACGCCTTTAATTTGTTTAAAGGCTGCCAACTCTGACTGGATAGTTCTACCTTGCAAGACTTGCTTCAGGTTTGTTTGTTTGTTTGTTTGCTTGCTTGCTTGCTTGCGGGTCCGTCCCTCTGCTTGCTTGCTCGCTTGCTTGCTTGCTTGCTTGCTTGCTCGCTCGCTTGTTCGCTTGCTCGCTCGCTCGCTTGCTTGCTCGCTCGCTCGCTTGCTTGCTTGCTTGCTTGCTTGGTTTCTTGCTTGCTTTGCTTGGTTTCTTGTTTGCTTGCTTGGTTTCTTGTTTGCTTGCTTGGTTTCTTGTTTGCTTGCTTGGTTTGCTTGTTTTGTTTGTTTGTTTCTTTTTTCCTGGCACCCTCTCCCGTCCGCAGTGAGCAAATCTTTCCTTTTCGCCTTTCGCCTTTCCCCGGCCCCAGATGTTCTCATCTTCGTTTTTGACTCCGTTTCTTGGCGAAGGTGTATCAACCTTGGCACGAAGCTCACGGTGATGTCCCACTTCATGGGCTGCTTCTGGTGGGGAGCCCTGAAACCAGCGGCGTTTGGAACATTTTTCGGGAGATCGTGGGGTCCCGGAAGAGCAGATGATGACTGAGGGGCAAATCCGGTGGAGTTGGATGCGTAAGGAAAAGAAGCTGATTGAAAGAAGTTTAAGGAAGCGCTTGATCTAGCCCTGCTGCTCAACACTGGGATTGCAGGGTTCCACTACTTGCCTCACATCCTGGCGGAATTACGTGCGCCAAGCGGTGCTAAAAGTCCTAACGTCTTGACGCGAGGAAATTGCTTGCAACCCACGTGGTTCCATCGGTCGAAATGCTTTGCCGTCCTCGGATGTCGGCTTTTGGCTATGACTCTGACACGAGGTGTGGTGAAAATTACATGTCCATGGTTCATTAGGGCGGACATGGAGAACTCATCTGAAATTTCCTCACAACGGGGGACTCTCTAAATTTTCCATGTCCTCTTGGGGGCGCAAAACGTTTTGACCGTGCGTGGCTCCAATCGTAGAGGGACTGCAGGAACCATGAACCATCCAGGCGTGCAACAGACAACTGACAGTTGCTTGCAAACTCATTTGATGAAATGTCTTTGATGATCCAATTGCCAAGGAGCAATTGGTTGAGCAATTGGCAATGCTTGTATCCAACGAGTAGGGAGAGTGGGTGTTTGCTCAGACCTCCTGTGACCATTGATCAGTCGGATATTCCCAACCACGAACAGAGGCGGTCACCTTTTCAATTGCTTTTGTTTTAGGACCCATTGCAATCTCTTTTGTCTGAGAGCATATGATATGATTTGTTTTCGTGATCACTTACCGAACTCCCATGTCATTGGGGGACACCTGCTGAATCTTGATGGTTCGACTCCCCTTTGGGAAAGAACACGATGGCCTGCGGTATGATTCTTCCCTGTGGGAAGGACTCAGCAGTTGCGAGGATCCGTGTGTGTGTGTGTGTGCCTAGGGCCTAGGGAGGCCAACAGAAAATCACATTGCCCTTCGGGCAGAAGTTTAAAGAAGACATCTGAATTCTAGATCCTGTCCCGGCCAGTTTCACTACAGGGATACCGCCGCTGGCTTCAGCGGATTTTTCTCCATGGGTTTCCTCATGCGGTGAGTCGCTGGTCAGGGAGCGCCTGAGGTTCTTCGTGTCCACTCACCAGGATATGCATGTCACTCAGTGCGTGGCTGGGCTTCTGGACTGTGACCCCAATGAGCCACGGCCTCGGTCTCGGGAAAGGGCGGGCCAGTCGCGTGAGGAAAGAGGGAGGAGGGGTGGGGGGAGGAAAGGGGTGGGAGGGGGGACGAGGGGTGGGAGGGGGGACGAGGGGTGGGAGGGGGGACGAGGGGTGGGAGGGGAGAGGAGGGAGGGGTGGCCGGGATTTTCAGGGTTGCTTTGTCCAGAACCCAGAAGTGTTTGTGTGTCTGATTGACTTTTGGATCTACCAAGCTGTTATCAAGGTTTATGTGGCCCCTGCCATGTAAAAATTGGCCGTACAGCCACCTCCTTAAATGGCAGGTAAGTCGCTGTCGCCTTGGCTTTGATCCGCTGAGCCGTGCAAAACAAGAGCGTGAAGTTGGCGCTGAGGAATTCGACCAACTGGTGGGCCGAAGTCAACATCAAGGAAGGGCAGAAGTGGGACCAGTGCCCCCCACCCCCCTCTCCTTTGAGGTTCGCTGGGACTTGCTGAAATCTGTTCACGTCCAAAACAGTGGCCACGAATCCCTGAAAATGAGACAACGTGGTGTTGCTCCTGCTTTCCCTTTCAAGCGCCGCCCCGACAAGGGTAGCCTCAACAACAAGACATGCCGGGTAGTTCATGGTCAAGTTGGGGTTTTAGACAAATTCAATCAACACCGGGGACGCGGAGCGAGCCGTCCATTCAGGTCAAAACATATTGTGACCATGGATTTTGTGAAATTCCAGCTCTGAACCAACAAGAGGTTGCTGACAAGATGCTGGAGAACACGCACACGTGTTTTGGCGGTGAGTTTAAAGTGAGTTTCGTTTTGGTGGGGTGATGTTCAAGGAGGAGATGTTGGGAACCCTGTCGAGCGTCCACCATGTTTGGATCGAGTGTTTGCAGACTCCGCTCTCAAGAACCCTGGGTGAGGCTCAAAATTAAGCAGGAGGGGCAAAGTGCAGGTTTTGGTCCATGTTTCCACTTACCAGGGTAAGCCATTCTGGTACTGGTTTTCTGAGCCACAGCCGCTTCTTTCTCAGAAGCTGGCAGGTACATTGCCTCGCTCTATTGGGCCTTCACCACGATGACCACCGTAGGCGAGGTGAAAGAGCGAATTGCTCTGGCAGTTGAGCAGCGCGCACCGAAAGCCATTGGCCGGTTTGGGCGTTTTTTTTGCCTTTTTTTCCCCCGTAAACCCTACACTTCCATTTGCTTAAGAGTATTTTTTTTCGTTTTCTAGAAATCTATGGACTTGAGGAAATGAAGGCACACCTTTGTAGTCAAGTTAGTAGAGCCAACAGTCAACGGGTTTTGGGCGCTTGGTTTGGCTTTGGCACGCTTTCGGACACTGGACATCACGACTACGGATCGCGACTAGAGAAATCATGGGTCGGTCTGTTTGAAACAATTCCTTGGCTGCCTGGGACAAATTTCGGGAGCTCCTCGCAGGCTACGGGGACATCCATCCCCGGAACGACGGCGAGAGGGCCGGGCCCCCTGAACGATTTGCAAGGTGAACAGATTTTAACGACCCCAGACCCAGGATGCACCGATCGGTGGGGAACGCCAGAAATAATACAGCCCATATTTTTCCGAAGTTCGCCTGAGGAGTAATTTTGCGGCCGGGGAGATGTTCTTAGAACACATCTTTTCCGAGGTGTATGCCATTGTGGCCATGATCTTCGGTGCTACGATGTTCGGCCTGGCTCTTACGCGCGTGTTTGTCGGCTCCCGTTTGTCGCTCGCAGGGCTGCCAGTGTCACGTTTTCGCCCTGATCCCAGGGCAATCAGTGGACATGGCAGCGCCTCTTGTTCGTGGGACCTAGTGGTTTCAGCGGGTTCCAGTCTTCCAGAGGTTTCTAGACTGGGAATTTCCGAAATTCGGAGTTCCAGGTGAAGCAGCATTCTTGTTTGCTATTGCGGAGGCCCAGCCCCGAGGCTTAGTCGAATTCCCTGCTTTTGATTTGTCCTTCAAAAAAGCAAAGCAGCCAAACAAGTGCCAAGATGCACTTTCTGGGTCCCTCCGGTTAGTTTCCCTCCTCAAAAACAAACAACACAGCCAAGCATCCCGTTAAAAGCAAGAGGACTGCCTCGAGTCGGGTGACCTCTACATGGTGGTTTTTCGAGCCTCGGCGCCCTTCCTCGAGGTGGGTTTACCTCGAAACGGGAAAAACCCAGCCGAACACGACTAGGTCCCCCAGCCAGGTGCTCTTTTACCGTTTCTTTTTTGGGGGTCGGGTTCCCCTACTAAAATAGACTAACGAAAAAAGTTGGTACCCTTATTCTAGCCTCTCAAATCTGAAGGACCCAGACGAGGAATGCCACCCAAACAATGGGCAAGAGAGAGGCCTGCCCCGACGAGGATATATCATCGGGTCCATCGCAGCCATGGCTGGCCAAGAGCGGGGCATCGAGGCGTGGGATTTTGGCGTCGCACGTCGGCCGGGGTCAATGGGCGGGGAAGGGTTTGGAGGAAAACCCGCATATGGGGGGTGTCCTTTTGGTTGAGGGTACTGGTTTGATGTGAAAAGGGGAAGCCAAAGGGAGCAGCACCATTTGGGAGGGGGCGTCCCCTAAAGAATGACACATTTCCGGGAGTTCTCAAATGAACTCTCCTGCACAAAGGCTTTGACGTTTTGCAAAAGGCCCTCTCGGCCCAAGTCGAGACCAAAACCAAGCCTTTGGGCCTGACGACCGGAGCTCTGCACCTGGGGCTGTATCAAGTTTGCGGGGAACCCCAAAAAATGAGCGGGGTCCCTTTTGGTTTCCCTTTGAAAAACAACACAAAAAGGGAGACCATAAGAAAACACATATTCCTTTTTGGGCGCGAATGCCCTTTGAGGAGTCGTCCGGAGTGAGGAGCTGTCAACAAACATTGCCCGTTTTACCGTCCGGTGCTGTGCCAGTTGGTGCCAGCAGTAGGGTGTGGTGCAGCTGGCTTTTTTCGAGTTTCGAGTGATTTATGACATGTCCGCTCAACAAGTTGACGTGTAGCAAGGGATCCGTTCGGAACCGCTATGCATTCCTTGGCTTCGTGGAATCCATTTTTTTGGCTGAAGGAGTCCACTACCCAAGGGAAACATTGGTATGTGACTTTTTTCCTTTTTGCGGAAGCACGAAGCCCCCACTTGCTTGAGCCAAGGCTTTGGCGCTCATGCCATCACCTGTCTGTTTTAGCTTGTTTGGTTGGGTTTTCATTTGACCCACTAACAGTTAGTCACTTTGTAAAGGACAGGGAAATGGTCCCTTTGAAAGGAAAATGGTCACACCCAGGAATTTCTGAGCGTCAGGAATTCCATGTTAGTAGGTGGCAGGGGTTTCGCGGTTTCGCGAGGCGCTGACCAAGAAGAAGTTGTCGCTGGTGCGGCACTTCTGCGAGGAGCAGCGGGTCAGCGAGAACAAGGCCATGGGATCTCGATTTGTTGGTCGAGAGGTCCGTTGATTTTAGATATCGAGTTATCAGAACCATAGGTGTTCTTTTTGGTTGTTTTGCTAGAAAATCGATGGCCCTGGTGTACCTGGTGGTTTAATCATCTACCAGGACCATCTATTTCCCCTAAAAGGACACCTATGATCAGAAACGACATATCAAAACGTGATTTAGATATCAGAACATGGTTTAGGTATCAAAACATGGTTTAGATGCCACTCATGTTTCCTCTCTGTGTTTGCTTCGCACGTGTGTTGTTGGTGCCTTGGTACAATCCCTTGTTCAGGAGGATCTGTGGAAAATCGGAGTTTGTCAAAGACAAACACCGGCTAAAGTCGATATCTTCAAAGCAAAAAAGAGGGAAGCCCAGCAGGTCAAGGGGCACCGTATCTTAAGTCACAGCCACATCCATATTGGAGGTTGACAAGCGCGGATCTCCTGCAACTTATCATCGGCTCCAAAAACCATTGTTTGTAGAGGACACTCCTTTTGAGGGACGCCCTGCTTAGGTTCCATGTGGCTTGTGGATGAAAAATAGGTAATTAGTAATTACCCTAATTGGGTTGCCCTGGTAAATGGAACCAAGAACTCAAACCTGCGGTCCCCGGTTTAATTTGGACCAATTCCCATGTGAATTTGAAGGGGAGTCGGCAGGTTTTTGTCGGTTTGGCCGCTCAGGTGAGAGAGGTGATGCGGCACTACGCGTCCTCCCGGCCGGTCCTTTGTCTCGTCCGGCCCGTTGATTGCAGCGGGGCGAGCAGGAGGCAGAACTCGTTTGACTGCTCCCCAGTTCAACGTGGAACCCCAAATTCTCACTTCGAGGAATCTTTTTGGGGGACCAGTTTTGGTTCGGGGGGAAAATCCTTCCTTGTATTTGCAGGGGGAGCAGGCAACTGGACAAAGACTCGCGGACTCACCCGCTTTCCGCTTTGCTGACTCCGTGTCACCGAGTGAGAAGACACGCCTTTGGGTCGTATCAACAAAAAGTGACTGCCAAGTCCGGGCCTTGGCGGCAGAGCCATGAACTGTCCGAGCCGAGCCGTCGTCCTTGGGCGTCGGGATGGTGGCCAGGTTCTTCTATGAGGAGCGGTCCCCTTTCAATGAGAACGCCCTGATGATGGAACTGCCGAACTGGCTCAGGAAAAAGGCGAGGAACTCGGCACGCCGTTGCTTTCCTTGCGAAGCCTGAACGGAACCCTGCCGATTCAGATAGCTGGCGGAAGGAAGGGGAGAAATGGAGGGGGAAACGGGTTGCCGGCGGGTGTTGGGCGTTTTTGTGGGATAGCCTTGACACAAGGAATTAGTGTCTGAGCAATGCAACTGATTTTAGATACTTTTTCCTCACAGGGAAACTAAGAGGAAAGACCATTGGCCTTGCCACCAGAGGACATCTGCGATCCTTCACGCAAATGACCAAGCCAGCCTCACATCTTTCCATTCATGTCTTTTTGGAGTTGGCAGCCCTTGTTTGTTTTTGTTTTTTTGAAAGGGACGCCAACAGGAACGTAGCGCCTTTGTGGGGAGTCCAACCTGAAGACGAGCCACGAAAAGGTGTCCAACTCCAGCCCCATGGTGAGAGATTTTCCGGCCTTCGGGGACTGGGGGAGCGCAGGTGTCAAAGCACATCCATCGAGAAGCCCTCGCCAGACTGGGCGTCTTCGCAGGCCGCAGTTTTTTGCGCGGACTGGAGAGGGGTTGGAAATGGAAGTCGGTTTTTTGGGAATGCTCTGCCTGGGGGTGGCAAGTTTTAGGTGACCCCATCCAAATTGGCTTTGGTTTATTTTCTTTTGGTTTCCCGAACCCTGCTAAAAGAGACGAGGCACGTGCCCTTTGGGAACTCACGCGGCCGATCTTCGCCCGATTTTTTCCGGGGGGTGGGAATGAATCGGAATGGTCGCGATCTGAACAAGAAATGTTGGAGCTGTGTCCTTGGTCACCCATTTGCCTTCCAGGAATCCCTAGGTTTGTGTCCCATTCCTCGAGAACCCAAGTTGGAGTTTTGACTTTGGACTTGAACCAGTTCCTGCAGAAACTGGCAAGTTGGATGGCATTGTCGTGCAAGGTCTCCTCCACTTCCTTTTTTAAAAAGTTCCACCAGTGGCGAGTGTTTTAGCTGGGAGCCACCGGTACCGGTGGCTCCCAGCCTTGGAGCTTAGTGTTTAGTGGTTGGGTTTCCATTTAGCCCACTAACAGTTAGTCCCTTTTAGCAGGGGATCTGAGAACAGGGTCGACCGAGGGCAAATTTTTCCCATGGACGTATCAAATATTAGGTTCCCCAGGATCGTGCCCTTTTACCCTTTCTTTTTTGGTTGGGAGATTCGGTTCCCCTACTATAAAACTACAGAAGAAAGTTGGTCCCCTGATTTTAACCTCTCAAATCTGGAGGACCTAGACTATCTTCTTCGAGCGTGGGGGACATGCGACAGGGCGTCATCTTTCTGCCGCGCCAGGGCCGCAGCAGAAGGGCCTCGAGGGCGGGCCGCTCCCGGACTGGCGGGAGCCCAAAGAAAAAGAAGGTCCGCTGCGTGGCGCATTGTCGGGGGCCACCAAAGCCATCCATTTGCAATGAATATGTCTTTTATTTCCCCCTGTTGGTATTTAGAGGGAATTTATCACTACTGGAAATATTTCTTTATTTTGCCAGGGGGCTCAAGCAAATGGAAGAAGATGTTTGTCTCGTTTTTGGGCCTTAAGCGGGCGTCGAATCAGACTGGAAACCATTCAGTCAAAGTGGGTGTGTTCCTTTTTTGAGGTTGGACCCACCAAAATGACTGGGTTTTCCTTTTGGCCTTCCTACAAAACCAAGCAGAAGGGGGCACCAAGTCCAAAAAAGCCGAGCCACCCAACTGGATTGCCCGATGGGTGGCGCGCGTCGTTCTTTGGGGCTCGGTACGCCAATTCTTTTTGGTGGCTTTATCAAAAGGAGAACCGACGCTGTCCGTTTTTGTTTTTTTGTTTTGTTTTTGTTTTATGCTATTTATTTATTTTGTTTGGGGGGGGAGGGTCACCTAAAAGTGAGACGCCCAGATGTTGCAGTGGGCCCCGCATGAAGTGACCGCAACTTTTGGAGGGGAGGTGAACAATCGATGGATCCATAGCTTTGACACCGGCAGTTTCGGTGGGACACTTTCAGGGGATATAGCTTCAAAGGCAGAACCCCCGGAAACTGGGCTTTGCTTCTTTCTTGGGATCAACTGGAGTCTCAAAATGGTGACACCCTTGTTTTTGGACAGTCTAGTTTTTTCATTTCTGAATCTTAATTCAGAAGCACAGCTTCTTTTTAGCAATTGAATTCCTCGTATGGGTAGAGCCAACAGCCCCAACGCTTTCGCCGCGCGCTTGGCGCCGCGGGGGCCCCCTCGTGAGGTTCACTTGCTGGGCCATGCGGATCTTGGAGCCACAGGCCGGAGAGATCTGGAGAGAGAGGGGAGGGAAAAGCCCAAGGCCGCCGCTTGAAATGCGGTCGGTGTGTGTGTGTGTGTGTGTGTGTGTGTGTGTGTGTGTGTGGTGTGTGCGTGGGTGTGGGTGTGGGTGTGGGTGTGGGTGTGGGTGTGGGTGTGGTGTGTGTGTGTGTGTGTGTGTGCCCAAACTCACCGAAATCACCACTTTGGACCCTGAGTAACCCAAAGGTGACCCGTTTTATCCACCCTAAAAGGGAATCGAGCCTCAAAAAACACACACACACACACACACAGAAAACAAACGCTCTGGATGGAGTGGATTATAGTGAGGCTTGTTTGAGCTGGGTTGTGAGCTGGGTCCATAGTGACACACCAAAAGCTGTCGAAGAGGTCCCAAACCCAAAAGGATCCTCATGGCCACCCTCTCGAAGGAGACGCATAGGGGTTTGTGTTTCTTTGGAGGCATGGTTTTGTTCGCGACATGAACACCAAGACGGATTGTAGGGGGTCCCCCAATCTTTTCACACATCTTGTTTCTAAGCTGGATAAGAAGGACTGCTTGTTGGTTTGTATTTAAAGATAAATTTCATGGAATCCAACCACACATAAATTTCGCTTGCCCTGGTAAATGGAAAGTTGACCGAAGCCCCCTGTAACCCCTGGTGATTTCATTTTGACCCATACCGATACCCATTTCTCGCATGGAATCCCTTTTAGCTTTTTAGTGTTTAGTGGTGGTTTCCATTTAACCCACTAAAAGTGTGGGGATCTGAAAACGGGCAGCCCAGACATGGAACTGTTTTGAGAGTGCTCTGCCTGGGGCTGGCAAGTTTTAGGTGACCCCCATCAAAATGGCTTTGGTTTTTTCCTTTTGGTTTCCCCAACCCTCCTAAAAGAGACGAGGCACGTGCCCTTTGGGAACTCACGCGGCCCAGACATGGAACCTCAAACCCATTTGGCCATGGTTCAAACCCAATGGAATCCCGTTTTGGGATAGGTGCGCCACCCCTTGCAGTCTATTTTAGTGGGGATTGGGATGTTCACTCGGGGTACGATTTGGGTTTTGACCCATGGCCATTGCGACGCGTTTTTTTTTTGAGGCGGTGTGCGCCGGAGAGCTGGTGATCAATGCAGAGGAAAACTCGTTGGCGTCAAGCTCAGCCACCAGACAGGTGGACACCCCAAGGCTGCTGCATTTGTTTTGTTTGTTTTGTTTTTGCTTGTTTGTTTGTTTGCTTGCTTTTTTGTTTGTTTGTTTGTTTGTTTGTTGTTTGTCTTGTTTTTTGCTTGCTTGTTTGTTTTGTTGGTTTGTTTTGTTTGTTTACTTGCTTGCTTGTGTGTTTGCTTGCTTGTGTTTTTTTTTGTCTGTTTGTTTGTTTGTTTTTTGTTTTTTGTTTTTTGTTTGTTTGTTTGTTTGTTTGTCTTGAGTTAAACTAAAAGGCAGTCTCTTAATATTTAAACAGATTAAACAAAACAAACATGGCCTCTAGAAAAGAAAGCCCACTGCCTCTGCTTGTCCTCTTGCTTTCAGTTCTTGGCAATTTCTTTTCTGTGGCCGGCGTGTCTTTATTTCTTTTCTTTGTGGGGGGGGGGGAGGGGAGGGGAGGGAGGGAAACGGTGGTTTTTCTGGTTCTCTTTATTGTTTCGTTAGCGGTGTGTGTGTGTGTGTGTGAAGCAATTGTTTATCTCTTGCAGGGGAAGAACAAGAAAATAAAAGAAAACAAAAAGAAGAAACAAAAGAACAAAAACACCGGGGGGACAAATGGTGCCACGCCCGCCGAGGTCCAAGAGCTCTTCTTGGTCTTCGACGGCGAGTGCGAGGCCGGCCGGCGGCCGGGGGGCCGGACGGGCGGGCAAATCGACGGCGGCCAAATCGTTGGGAGTGAGAAATGAAAAATGACGCCAGGAGCTTTTCCCCTGAATGATCGGACCAGTTCACCAGTCGGAGGGTGTCTTCTTTCTCTTGGGGTCATTCCAAGTTTCTGAAATCTCGAAATTGCCCGCTGAGCAAGAAATGTGCAGGTCAAAGACCAAAGGAACCAGCGGAACGGGATTCCGGAACGTTCCGGTGTTCCGGTGTAAGAAAATGCCCAAAACTTCGACACCCTGGGGCCTAGAGTTGAAGGGTGCTGAGAGTTGGCGTTTCACTGAGTGAAGCATCTCAAGAGAGTTGCAAGTGAGATACATACATAATATATATATATATACCCTCAGGAGCCAACGTTCGCCGTCGCTCCACAAGGAAGTAAGTAGCAGCGTCGCCAAGGTTCGGGGGGAGAGGGGGTTGGGGGGGGTGGGGGTAATAACGTCCGTGCCAAGCAGAAACGGGGTCGTAGTAGTGTCGCCGAGTATCTTCTGCGCGCCAGCAAACGTCCGTTCCTGCGTCGAAAACCAGTTTCCCCACTGTAATGCGAACGTCACGTCTTCGGGGGGTGGGTGGGGGGGGGGGGGTGGGGTAATAGCGTGCACCGCTCGGCTCGTTGCGTGCCAGCAGACGTCCTGTTCCCGCGTAGAAAGCCATCCTTGCGTCGCACGCTCTCATCACGTTCCGTTCCTGCGTCGAAAACCATCTTTGAGGGTGGGTGGGGGGGGGTTGGGGTAATAGCGCACACCGCTCGCCTCGCTGTTTGCCAGCAGACGTCTTACCCCCGCGCCGAAAACTATCATCGTGTCTCACGCGCTCGTCACCTTCCGGCTCCTGAGGCTAGATATAAGTATACACATATGCATGCAGTTCGTTACCCAATGAGAGCATGTGCCGACGACAATGTGGCCGAATCACGGCTTGGTGCTGCGCACCATGAGACGAACCGGTTTGCTAGGGCATTTCAATGTGTCTTCATCGTGGAAGAAAATCCACGTTTTGTCCTCGGCTCAATTTAACCAGAGAGCCTGGCCTTCAGGTGATGCTCAACGCATTGTGGAATTACAGACTAGCTTGTAGTAGCGGGCAAGTGAAAACATCCCCGCGCGACGCTTTTGTCGCAGATTCTTTAGCCTGGCTGCCTGCGCAGTAAAAAGTGCTTGCGTGCGTGGGGGATCAGGGCTTCAGCATGTGCCGACGGCAAACGTTGGCTCTTGACCGTATATATATATATATATGTATATATGTGATCCCAGTGATGTGTATTTGTAATGAACTGCGATGTGATGTGATGCTTGGTGTTTGGAGATGTGATGTCATGTGTAGTGATGTAATGTGATGTCACGCATTTGGTGCAGGTAAAGTGCATGTTTTTGAAGTTGTATGCTCACCGCATTAATGGTAAACCCATGCATGTTTGCAGCGTTTTTGCAACTTTTGATGCATGATTTCCCAGTGTGCTGAGTTCACCACATGAAAATCTCTGCTAAACAAAAGGGCATCAGGTGCATCTGCAGACAGAGAAAAAGTAAAACCGCCCTGCACAAACTAAAACTGTTTTACTTTTGGCGGTTTTACTTTTCCTTGTCGTGTTGATTTTACTTTTACAGTGGGAAAGTAAAAACGTAAAACTGCATGAAGTAACAAATGGTTTACTTTTGGGATTTGTACTTTTTACTTTCAACGGGCCCAAAGTTTTACTCAAGATTCTCGAAACACTTTTCTGTGAAGTCTGAAATCGTGAATCTTGAATCCAGTGGAAAAATACGTTCAAGTTTTTGGAAAACACATATTTTGGGGTGGCCCGGATTCAAGATTCTCGGAAACCGTTTCCGTGAAATATTGGATCTTGAATCTTCAATCGTGGTAGAACGCGTTCAAGTTTTGAGCGATCAGTGGAAACACATTCAAGTTGTTTCGACAAACTTTCAAGTTGTTGTTAGTGAGCTTTTTGCTTAATCTAAGCTATTCTCATGTTTACCCTTTTTAAGGAGGTAGAAAAGGCAGAAGCAATGCTCAAAACCACTGTATTTTACAGTATTTTATTAAGAGGCGCAGGTTCATGGGGGATACCATATGTATGTATATATGTATACTCACACCTCCCCACGAACTACCTTTCCCACAACTGCTCATCTACTACCTTTTGAGATAGAATGACAGGTGTTTTCCTCCCCAAATAAGACTCTAAATGCAACTAAGGTAACTTGAATTGCTGTTTTGATATATATATATAAATGTATATATATATATGTACATATTATATATATATATTTATGTATATTAGATTTTCGACCTTTGCCTTGAAGTTTTTCCATTTTGGAACACTTGAAATCTGGGACCTGGAGATCAATCCGGCCCCCGAAGCCTCAGAATTTGGAGCCCAGAACCCGGAAACCATGTCCAAATATGAATTCCTTTCTTCATAGGATTGTAACTCAAATTGAGTTGGAATTTTGAATCGAATTTAGTAAGGACATAGTTCGCCGGAATTTCGATGTTCAATTATAGTTTAAATAGGACATCCTCTCCAAATACGAGTCAAATGCAACATCTAGTAGAGTTTTAATAGAATTTAATACGGACAGACTTTAATTGGGCTTTAAACATAAAATTTGCAAAGAATTAATTCCCAAATATGGTTCAATTTTAAATATAGTTTAATATGAAAATAACTCAATGGGCCTTTGAACATAACATTTAGAAATTAATTCATTCCCAACTATGCTTTAAATTAAACTTGATTAAATTTGAATGGATTTTTATATGGACAACAATTCAAATAGAATTTAGTGTTTCAATGAGAACTTGAATATGAACTTTAAGGTATTTGTATAAGAAAAGCAGTTCAATTAAAATTCATATTTCAATTAGAACTTGAATATGCACTTTAATGGATTTGTACATGAAAAACAGCTCACTGAGAATTCATATCTCAAATTAGAAATTGAATATGAATTCCTTTCCAAAGATGACTGTCATGAAAGTCAATTAGAAAATGCAATAGAATATAATAAGGACAGATTTCAAACACAATGTCTATTTTGAACAATCCATTTGAAGACTGCTGAAGCCTAGGTTTTTTTCTTTTTCTTTTTTTCGGGGGGGGGGGGTGGTGGGGGATAGCATATATATATATATACAGATATATTTATATCTATGTAGAAACAGTGACATATATATATGTATACACAGATTCATTTGTGTTGGGCTGTTTGAGCCAACTTTCGGGGGATATGACTAGTGATGGTAGAGTAGGATCCGGATCCAGCCGGAGATCGGATTTCCGCCCCCTGAAAATGGTTGGGGCTGACCCATCCAAGGAATTTGGGGATCCTTCTTCGTTTTTCCCGGAAGAAACTCGATGGGTGTATACCACCAAACAAGGGGTGGCCTCAAGAACAGCACACACACACACCCACTTCTTTGCCATGCTTTGCCTTTAAATTTAGAGTCAGAGTTGAAGAGCTGTATTTTGGGCCTCAAAAGACATGTTCGAACATGGGAAAACTGGGCCTCTCCGAGTCTCTGTAGCTCGCGCTCAGCTCAGCTCCAGGCCTTCTGCCACCGGAACATGTGGCGCCCGGCGCCCCCGGGCGGTCATTCCGACACCGGAGGCGCGCAGCGCGGCCGCGTTCGCAGGGTCTCGCGGCCCCGTGGCGGCATCGCCGTCCGAGGGTCGAGCTGCAAGGCGGCCATGGTTGAGTGAACTTTTCAGGTTGAGAGGAAAGCCCCATGTGAGGGTTGGACTCCAAGAGGAACACCCACATGATGCAGCTATTATTTTAGTTTAGGTTGGAGAGAGGAACACCCATCCGATTTTTTGAGCATAAGGTTGGACACCAATATTGTTTTATTTTTTTTTTGGGGGGGGAGGGGCGGCGGCCCATGGATTTTTTGACACACCCATATTGGCTTTGGTTGACTTCTCACGGAACAAGCGAGGCAGGCAGTGGGGTGTGGCTCACGGCGAAGGGAAATGGCGACCGCAGATGGTCAGCTACTTTATTTACCACACGATGTGAGTGAATCGACCACCTCCGAGTAGAAAGTCTTTGGCGACTTGCGCCAAGGGTCGTTTTCCTTTTTTGCCTTGCCAATTTTTGAGGGCCTCAGTATTTCTTCCTTCACATGGTCCCAAGGAGTTGCTTCTAGGCTGTCAATCTGCAGGGGCGAAAAGGGCACCTGAAAGGAGCCGCCTTTCCACTGTAAAATACATTTGGCTCGAGAGCTCAAGCATGCTGCATGCCAAAAGCAGCCCAAGCCGCCACAAGTGTCCTATAGGCGCCCTACCCACCGGGCGTATGGCCTTTGTTGCAGTTTCGGATTGGTCTGCTTTGCGTTTCTCCAAATGTCTTCAGATTTCTTCAAGTTGTTTTCTTCTTTTGGTTGTAGCGTCTTTTTCGTTTCTTTTCCAGCCCCCATTTGAAGTTTTCCTCGGCATTCCTGTGAGTTTTCCGCGGGCCATTCGCCATGGGTCGATGAGCCTTAGCTGGCTGGGCAAGAAACTGGGGATGGTGCCGGAGGGCGGCAGCTGCTGCAGTTGCTTGGCGGACATCGAAAATGAAGCCCATGAGAGTTGCGAACATGATGGGGCCCAGTACTGCCCTTTTACCCTTTTTTTGGGGAGGGTTCCCCTACTAAAATAGACTACAGAAAAAGGGTACCCTTGTTCTAATCTCTCTACTGGAAACCAAAAGGAAACTAAGCATTTTTGCGCACCCCATTTCGAACACCCGATTCCGATTTTTTGCGGGGTCGCAATTCCCGCCAAGGTCGATGGACAAAGTCCACTTCGCACCAGTTGGTAGGTGATCTATCCCGGTATTAGGATTTCATCCATACCAAGGGTGCAGGATTCTGTCTCTCACTTGCCCAGTTCAGACAGTAGGCCATGAGTAGATGTAGTGAGGCCCTTGTCAACCGTGTTCAACATCTTCGTACAGTGGATGGACGAAATCCTGCACCACTTTGGCCGGTATTTACAGGTTAATTAAATCATTCCAGGGGTATTGCTTGGGGGGCAGCGCAAGCTTAGAGAAGCGTTGCAGAAACGGTCGAAGCGTGGTTGGACGCAAACGAGCCGCCCTTTGCCAGAGGACAGTCTTCCAAAGTGCGCGGAACGTGCACTTCCAGCCATGTTGGGAACCGCTACGACAAAAAGCGATTCGCACGAAACGGATCACGTTTGGACCAAAACAGACAAAACGAGATTGGGCATTGAGTTTCTCAACTCAACTTGCGCGCGGGACACATGTTTTTCCTTGGGACCCTTGCCCATCCCGAATCATCTCTGGAGGAGCGCATAGGTGATGAGGTTTGGTTCGACCCTTCGGCGCCCACTGTCGGAGGAAACGTCTCTCCCGTAGGTCTCTTTTGAAGGCCTGCGCCATTTGTTCAAATCAGGGGCGCTGTGCTCAGGGGTGAGTACATTTCCTTCCAAGAAGTTTGAAACATCACCTTGGCGGATTGAGGTTGATGTTCCTTGATGTTCCCGGGGGAGACATGGCTGTGGCTCAAAACGACGGTACCAACACGGAACCCTGGTAAGTGGAAACATGGACCAACACCTGCGTAACCCCTCCCTTTCAATTTTGACCCACAGCCACATAGGGAGCCCTGTCCCCGAAGAGAAACTGGGGGCTTCAAATCTCAGCCATCGAGTCACGAGATAAACAAACAACTGAGGTGCGCCGCCTGCGCAGGATCCCTGCTGGCGCGCGCTGGAGTTGCTGGCGCCTTGAAAATGAAGCTTGAGATGGCTGTTGGTGAAAAATGGGTTGCCCTGGTAAGTGGAACCAAGGACTCAACAATTGCAGTCTGGTGGGCTTCGATGCCAGAGCCTCCTGAGAGAAAAAAACACCAAAAACTGAGGGGCGCCATGCGTAAGAACTGTTGACCTCCTTTGGGTCTCCCGTGGGCTTCGCTTCAAAACCACATCAAAGAACGGCACGCGCAGCACCCAAAGCACCGACACAAGGCTTGGAGGAGTGTCCTTTGGGACAGCAGGCCAAGGCTCTTGCAGAGAAGTGCCATTGCCAGGAAGGATTTTTGCCACCCTTTTCAACCCTGGTGGTACAGATTTGAGTATGCTTGAAACCTGCACCAACTGCCAGACTTAGGTCACCTTCGCTCTTGAAAGCCTTTTTTTGGTTCCTTCATAAGTCTCAGACTTGCGCAAGTCCAAGTCTTAGTTCTCACTGGAGCCTTCCATTTCGGTCGCCGACAGCGAGGCCTTGGATTCCCCGGCTCTGGAGGATGTCATCCAGCGACTGCGGCGAGAGTCGAAGGCCGAGGCGGAGGCACGGCGATTGCTGGGCGCCTGGGCCCCGTTTTGTATTTGTTCCACTGTTATATGTATACAATATAATATATATATATATATACACGTATGTATGTATATATATATATATATGACTAAAGATACGATATATAACAGTGAAGTAATTGACACTATTGCACTAAATGCATGTGGTAATTGAAAAACAAAGATAAAGGGGATGTGTCAGCTTCCCTAGAATTGGTTTGGAGCCGAATCGGTGGTTGGTTGAGGGGGGGTGAGCCCCATTTACCCTCCACAAGAACCAGGGACCCGTTCAAATCCCAAACCACTAATCCAAACCACAAATCCAAGCCAATTGGGGGTCCTTCAGTGAGGGTGCGAAAAAGGGTGTCTCGTCTTTTTTTGGAGGGTATCTCGCTTTTTGTTTTGGTGGCTTTTAAAGGAACACCGCCAACCGCCATTTTGGGGGGTCCCTCAAAAGACACGCGCACATTTTTTTACGGGTTTTTTGTTTGACCGAGGGGTAAGACATCACGGATTTTACAATGGCACACATGAGATCCGTGGTCGAAGTACGCTGTTTGCCCATGGTCACTTGCTTTTGTGTTTGGGCCATAGGCCTCACTAAGCCAAAGCCCAAAGTTGGGTAGCAGCACATTTTTTGACTCGTAGATAGAAGTGGTTCCTGTTTTAGGGTTGGGGTTGTGTTTTAGGGAAGCGGAAGGGACAGCGCATGACAGCGCTGTTTGATACACCCATAAGGTCTCCTGTTTGAAGCATCCTTAGTCTGCTCTTTGGTGCTTCAACATCGCTTTTTGGACAGGGGGCCACTGTGTAGAGAGTTTCCTTGTGCGGAAATTATGAAATCGTAACTATGTGATCTATGTGCAACCCCGGTGCAAGAGGTATTGTTATGCTAGGGAGTTGGAGACTTCGGCACGACCAAGAAAGAGGCCCCAGAGCCCTGGATTGCATCAGTGAAGCCCTTTCATGGGGAAAGGTGATGAACATGGCAGAGATTGATTTCTTCAACATCATCGACGAGTTGCTGGATGATTGTAATGTCAAACCCCTGATCACTGGACCCTCCCCGATTTTTCTGAAAGGAGCGTCGGGCCGCACTTGGGACCCTTTTTATCTTCTGGCGGAAGGGACACCGGTGATTCAAGGGAAACCAAAGGGAACCTATATATATATATATGTCCCTTCTTCAGTGTCACTGCCCGGTTTCAAAATCGTCACCATTGGTTGCTGGAGTGGCGTTCAAAGCGGGGAGCAAGCTAGGCTCTGTATGGTGGCCGGACAAATACTTTTTTGGTGTTTCCTTCATTTAGGATTCGTTTTTTACTTGGGAAGCCTCCAAAAATTTAAAAATGGCCACGATTTTACTCTTAAGTTTCCTCCACAAGGGTACGGAGCCCCACACGCTTGCTGGTTCTCAGGGTTTCCTTGCGGGAATCCCGCCGGTTCATTCCCAAAGCCCGGACTCGTCATTCCCTCGCGCCAAGACAATTGAACCACCAACTTCCCTGCTGAGTGGGGAATGCGGGGGGAGGGACCCAGATTCCCGAACACCACAGCGTCATATTCCAATTCTCATTGCATCTCTCGCAGCGATCGCAAGTTTCCAGCTACCTGGCTGGTCAAAACCAATGGGATCCCATTTCGGGGATTGGGTGCAACATGCATTTTAGTCTATAGTGGTTGGATTGAACCGGATGTTCACTGGATAACCCATTTGGGTTTTGACCCATAGCCATATGGGGTTCGTCTATATGGACTATGTTTTACTTTCCCCTCAAACTGGACATGTTTTTTCTTTTTTTTCCGAGGGGTGTTTGACCCATAGCCGCCTCAACGTAGGGCTCGGGTCGGATTGCGCCAAGGGGACTTCCTCATCCAGTTTCCTGGCGGTCTCTCAGATGCCCAGCCGCAGCCTGAGTCGCCAAGAGACTTTCCGAGAGCAGGGGAAGGGGAACACGAACCTGGGATGGGCTTTGGGCTTCCTCCGTGTTTTTTCTTTTTCTTGTTTTTCCGTATCCTTTTGGGTTTCCTTGGGCTTTCCTAGTTTTTGGGTTGCCTTTGGCTTTCCTTTGGGCCCTTGGGCTTCCCTCAAAGGTGTCCCAGAAAAGCAAGGGACCCATGTCCCACAAGCGGTGAGGGTTGAAACCTGCCTTGAGATCTCCATGACTCCATTTCGCCTTCGAGACGTGAAAACCAAATCACCACATCCCCCCCCCCAAAAAAAAAAACCGAGGCAGGACAACACCGATCGCCGTCTCCAAGCAGGTAGAAAAGGAAGCCCATGTTGGGATGGGTCAAAAACCGTATGGA